ATAAACAATAGTGTAGGTACAATACGAATCATACTAAGTCATAATATTATCATTTAGATTATTTTTATCGCAGAATTAAATCTTTAAAAATATTATTAAAAGTATGTAAAATCAAAGATTTAACCGAAACAACAAGCATTGATACAGAGTTTTAAGTTACAATTTATCTAGAGCAGTTGTTTATAGAATCAATAATCGCAGGCGCGTTGAAGTCGACCTTCTCTTGTTTACGTCGTCAGATATACTCGTAGTACTGGAAAAAACCGAATGCAATAGATTCTAGTATTAAACAATCCTATCATTGATAAGGGCCATTTTTTATGAAAAGTATTTATATCTTTCTGCAATTTTAAAGCATATATACCTATACTGCTCATATAAATATTTATTTTATTAAAACAAAACGTAACGTTCTTACTCTATCGATTTGTCAATCCGTCTCGTCACGTATTCTCGCCACATTAATTCAATGTGGCTTACACAACGTATTACTTAATATTTGTTTACAATCTTATTGCGATCGAGTCAAACAAACAAAATGAAAGTTTTACATGAAAATATATGAGTTTTGTTTTAAATTTATTTTTATTATGAAAAACGTAATTTATTATGTGGAAGTAAATTAATATTATAAACTCTTATATTAGCCTTCATGAAAAGCAGATGGTTTCAACTTTCCCGTAACTTTTAATCTTGGCTAATAATTGGCATATCGCCCGCTTTGAATTGTTTACATTACTAAAACGTGACAATATGAGCGACATAATACATCACTAAAACCAAAAAATAGATATTTATTTTAGTCCATGTAATTTGTTTACATAACTATACTCAGCACTACATTTTTTATTTGAGTTTGGGAAATTACGACGATGGAATTGTTATTGAAACAATGAGTTACATATAAAAATATTTTATTAAAAACATTTTGGTAACATTTAATAAGAACACTTAGGTAAAAATAAATCGACTTCAAAATTATTTCAAAAGAACAGCCTGGGCTGGAAGTTCGCGGAGGAAGCCGGAACAGCAAAAAACTAAAATAAATAAAAACAATGATAACACTCTAGGCAGACATGTCTAATTGACAACCAGAATTAAGGCATCACAAGAATAATTATTTAAGTACGATAAAATACCTACGGCTATTATTATAATTACAACAAATAAAACGCCTAGTGCGCAGCGTTCGCTTGTGATGCGCCGTGGTCGCCCGCGACTCTACGACCGCCAACTTTCAATAATAAATAATATGAATTTGCTAATTTTCTAATATTCCGGTACACATTACAATATTATACCAAAAAAATAGGCAGCAGTACATAAATGTGTTTAGAATACAATTAAAACTTAGTAATTCTGTACATAGAATGGTTTGTTTGTTTGTTTATTGTGTACCGGAACCGTTGTCGGGTCGGTTGGCAGCCCTAGCGGTGACGCGCGAGGCGCGGGCGGCGCGCGACCCTGTACAGTCTCTTGGCAGGGAACTTACATCGAGTATTATTGCCACTAACATTATTTCACACCACTCACGAGACATTTCGCTTGCCACTACGCCGTAATTATACACTACTAAACACTAAAACATCCCAATTATACAAAGCTATGTTAAAATTTTACCTAACTAATAATAATATTATCTTCGGTTAATTTTGATACTAGAATGATAAACATCATCTCATATTGTACTCTTAACATTACATTTGATTATAAAATGAGGAATTACATATATAATATTGCAAGCATTACAGAGATTGTGCACGTTACGTGAAGTGATCGAAGTAACGATTGGACTAAGTGTTAGGAAAGACGATGTTACACTCGAGTCGATGGCGAGGGCCGGGTGGCCGTCGCGCAAACAGCTATGTATATTAAAGGAACAAACAGTCAAAGATTAAATTACGAGCATTGGCACATTCAATATTAAACCTTAATTATTCTCGAAATAGCACTGCATATCAATAACCAACTTAAAAACTAAATTCAGATCAGTCATTTATGATATCACATCAAAATAAACAGGGAAATACATTATGTGATCATCGATCGGATATACTATATTATATAATATATATTTATATTCTTTTCAAAAGAGGTATTAATTTTCTTAAGGGTTACTAAAATATTGAGCTCAGCGTCGCGGGCCGCGGCCGTGCGACGCACTATATCACGATAATAGGAGAATAACATTAAACCAATAAGTTTTGGTACTTGGAGTTTGTCTCCGAGTAAATCTATTTCGCTAAACCTACATAATGCTTATCAGATATACGTAATACACTCAAGACGCGCCCGGGCGCCTCGTCCAGGCAATAGACCCTTCATTCCTATACAATTTTCTTTATAAAAATACTGTCATTTGACTACAGTTCGATGAGAAAAATTATTTATAAATATGAGTTGAACGATAGATAAAATACAACACATCATGTATAATATTGTGTATATGATTTGACTAAACAAAATAAAATGCATAAAATTGATACAATTCAAAACGTTATAAATCACTTGAAGACACTTAGCGATGGAAGGTACTAGATCGATATTTCGGAAAGAAAAAAACTCATTCAGTTAAATAAATAGCACAAACAACCAATATATTTGGCAATGTGGATAAAATAAACACTAACAACTAACCTTTCGGCTGCTACTTAAACAAAACTGGAATGCAAATATTGCATCGCACCTCGGCCTATCGATGTCGGCACGCCTACGCCTATAGGGAGACCTACCCACCTACCTACCTACCTGCACTTGCACGTCACATCGAGAGCTTATATAAAACTGTGCGTATCGCTCCGAATCCTTCTCCATCCCTTTGAACTACATTCGATTGAAACTTGTCATATTAAAACTAAATAATAATCTGAATGCAACATAGACAACTAACAACCATTTTGTGAGTATGTGTGACTGAGGATATAGCACACGGCGAAGGCACCTCTAACATTTTTGGATTTAGAGATAAGCGCTATAACTATAGAGATGCCTTCTTTTTAGGCAAAAATATTGTTAGGCATATAATATGTATTATTTTAAGCTGCATTCTGAGATCCATGCTATATGATCAGTCATGACCCACTGAATCATATAATTATATAAATAAAAATTTTGTAAATTTAACTTATTTGTTTCTAAATATGTGTTCATGTTCATAGCCCGCTTGTGTTGTATGGAAAGTGTGGCGATGACTCAAAAAAGATAAAGCAGTGGATAAAATGCAATCTAAATTTAAATAATGATTAAACATTTTCGATAGTCAGTTCTGCTACTTAAAATTGTTATAAAATTTAAACGAATCAACACATCGTTGGTCCCTTCCAGAATAATTGCCGAACCATGTACCATAATATGTAATAATAATAATATAAATAAAAAATTTGAAAACTACAAATGTATTGTCTCATATTTAACATTTTTTATAAAAATAACTTTGTCTAGTCCAGTTAAGTTTAAAGCTGACCACAACATAGCAGAACGAAATTGCACAGAAGGACAGTATTAATTATCATTATAGTTATACGTTACATTACTTATATAATTCAAGAGACTCACTATTAAATATCTTGACTAAATTAAGAGACCATGGATATATTACAATTTAAATATGCATTTAGCGATATTGCCAGTCTGTAACGACACTTACTATAATTTCACTAGAAGCCCAGTATCTGGACACATCAATGACTCCATTTAAAACGGTCTGTAACAACTACTAATACCTTAGAATATCTAATCACTGTTTTAATTTGTGATGATATGCACTGATCACCCATTCTCACTATGTACCTAATGGGCTCCTCGTTAATTATATGAATCAAGCTTCCACACAAGGATATAGAGAGGGCTATATCATCAAGACCATATCCTCTTATAACATGTCATCACTAATATTATGTATGCTCGGACGGTAAATCCAACAATCATAATAAGACCTTAAAATTAACATTCAGCTTCGCTATAAATTCGTGCCGTCTCGTCATAATCGTAGTCAATATACACGAGAAGCAGCCTTTTGGTTTAAATGATGCGACATGACTGTGGAATATATTCAAATTGTAACTACACACTAACTATTATAAAACAATATTCAAGCAACTACAAGATGTAATGTACTGGTGGGAATTGCTAATTACGATATAATTAAATGTCCATAATATAAATTTAAATATTGCTTTAAATTAATTAAGCACAAAAACTAACAGATGAGAAGTTTCAGCCATTCGATTTTGTGCTACACAATCAATATAAATTGAACAAAACAATTTATAGAATATAATATGCATAAAACAAATAAGATTCTTTGGATAACAAATTATTATTAATATTTCTAAGAGGAACTAAATGTAGCATAATATATTATTTAATTTCTGTATTTTTATATATTAATTATTTTTTAGAGTTGAAATTTTTAGACTGAGTCATTAAGATTCTAATTTTTGGGATTTTAAATGCCAATTTTGTATGTCTGTTATAACTTATGGCATTGAGTTTTAAATATAACCTAACTTTTAATTTATCACACCGTTAAATAAGTTAAAAACAAACAAAAACGAAATAAATTTGTATCGTCACGCGTTTCACAGAATTTGTCAAAAATTGCCTTTTTTAAATTAAGATCACAGTATTAAGTCACTTTTAAAATGTAACTCTACGAATCCGCGAGACGATAACTATTATACATACATATTCCACAGCCATCCATCGAACTGGGCCACAGCAGGCGAGCACTAAACTAAATTATTAGGAAAATGTCACAAGTCCGAAGGCTGTAGTTCACAGAGAAAAATTTGTTCATTAAAATTGATTTAAATAAATATAGTATAGTACCTGGTAGATAATAGAAATCCCTGACATTTCACAATGACAGGTCGTCAGGTTAAGTGAACTATAGTCGCCGGTATCACGGATGTACGAGCACCACTAAGTGACAGTTAGAAAGATTTGCACCCTGTTGTGTCCCAGTAACACATCTCCATTTACATGGCGTTGTCAACTCAATCTGTGGCGGCTACGACCCATGAAAAGCCACATGAGCGGCAAGAGTCTTTTACGTACTGCGTGCGAGTTCCATACGGTCCGAGGCGGTGGTACTGCGAGCGGTTTGCGAAGAACAATGCCGGATTGTTAGGTGGCAACACCGTAGCACGGTAGTTCCATCGAGGATCGGTGAGATTGGCACTCAAGTTGAGAATATCGTGCCCTCCATAAATCACTTTGACATCCTGAACTTTCTGCTCTTTCGGACGTGGCTGTGGTTGCACAACGGGTTCGAATAATTTCTGGAACCAGTTAAAATTACTATTTCAACAAAATCGGGTATTCAAATCAGATGAAGATAACTTTAGCCTATAATCGCATTTGTTTCTGTTATCTCATTCATGGCGGACATTTTGATTTTATAGTTAAAAATTTAATAATAAACTTTATTTATGTACTATAATATTATGTATATCATAATTTTTAAACAAAGCATACGATAAAATTGGACGATGCTATGTACATTCGCTAAATCTTTCCATTATCATACGTCAATTGTATACAACATTGATAGCGTAAGACGTTCGCCATTACGGAATATTATGAAAATAGAGAGGTCAAGGCCAGGACAGACGCAAACAAAATAGTGCAAATTTTATAAGATTTACTTACCTTCTCTGTTGTCTGAGGACTAGAAGGCAGCGAGTCGTTGTTAACAGACTCTGATTTCAACGATCCCAGTGAGCCGATACCGCTAGATTCGCTGGAGACAGATGGGCTAGGGCTCGTCTGCGACTGCGATAGGCCCGCTATGTCTATGATATGCCTGAACGAATTAAAATTTTCTGTCTCCAATCCGGCCAGAGGTAGTGCAACTGTTAAAGCCATGTCTGCAAATGGATAATAACAATTGTACTCTAATTTACACGTGCATATATGCCACTGCGTGTGAACAGTTAAAGCTATGTTGACAGAAATCAACGCGCCAATTTTTAGAGAATCACAGCACAAATTATTAACGCAAAGCTCACCTTTGGCTAGATTAAAATAAAAATCTATGAAGATACGTAATAAAATAAGTAAAACACTATTACCGAAAAGCGCAATCCTCAAAACGTACAAGCCTCGACGTAGTTGAAAGAGATCGAACATTTATGGAGTGAAGTTGGTCACATTATCTCGCGTTTGCGTGTGCGTGATGTCGGGCGGCAAGCGGAAGTTATTTTACTGTCGGTAAAACAGTCTATTACGCAGCAAACCAAAGCTTTTGTAAATAAAGTCCATATATGTTAAATTCTCATTATTTAAATACATTTTGTATTTAGTAAGCTTAAAAAAGGTTTGTTTAAAGTTTTAAATATTAATTTTCTTTTATAAAAAACAAATATCCATTCTTTAACTAGTGCCCTCTAGGGATTAGTTCATGAAGTAGTAGAGGTACTTCATATTATGTCGCTAGATGGCTGTACTGAAACGCGGAAAGACTTCATGTTTACTAGTACAGAGGTCGCTTCGACACATTCTAGATAATCTAAAAATAAATATATTTATTTGAAGGTATTGTAACTTCGCTGCTAAATAATAAATATTTTCAGCGTTTTGGCATGATAAAAGAATAATATTATTAAATAACTGCATCCTTCATATGATGCAAATCATTAATTAGAGGGAGAACTAAATATTATGATATGTTGAATCACGAATGAGTAAAGAAGGCTAATTCGATAAACCTCTGTTTAATCCGAGACAAAAATTGTACCCTTATAAATAAGTCTATGCGAATCTAAATTGCGTCATTTGATCATTTGGCAACAATACAATTTTTTTATTTTTATAAATGCCTATAGCGTCTATGTTTTTGATAGCCGCGTATTATTTATATTCTTCATATTTAGTTCAATAACTTTTGTACATATCCTAGCGTAATTTGTGTCAATCATAACGTCCTACTAGTATTATAAATGCGAAAGCTTGTGAGGATGTATGGATGTCTGGATGTATACTTATTTAGATGTTTGTTACTCTTCTACGTAAAAACTACTGAATGGATTTTAATTAAACTTTATAATAAACTTTATAATATGGCTACTAGGTACTATATACTTTTATCCCAGAAAAATATACGGTTCCCGTGGGATAGATTTGTTCTTTCTTTTTCTAGAGGCGAACCCGAGCGAAGCGAGGGTATGCCGTTAGTTTATAATAATTTTAATAAATCGACCATTAGTAACACTATTGACCAGAAAGTTAAATTTGTGCAACGTTTAAAATATTTGTTGATACTAAATAAAAGTACCTACTTCTTTATAATAAAGAAAACCGGTTGGTGTGTATTTTATTTTTGTAAAAAATTAACAGCTTCGTTTTTGACTGTATTTAGAAGAATACTTTTCTGAACTTTAATTCTTCTTATCCTTACTAGTATAGTATTCTATGATCTCTGTCCGTACCTACGATTTTTTTATTCAAATACATAAAACGATATGCTTTTTTTTATTTTAGCAAGGCCTGATATAGGAACAGAATTGCGCATATTTTATGAATTAGGTTCTAATATCTATAGAGTAGAATTTCTATACACTACATCTACTGTTACTATTTACATTGTTTCCAATAGTGCATTAATCTTCAGCATCACATCATTTTTACGAAAAAAAATGACAGTACTTATTTTTTGACATAATTTGAAATTGTAATATTTATGCCACATATTTTATTGGTATTAATATTATCTTAACATAGACGTGTATTTCTTCAAAACAATGGGATCAATTTCTGATACTGAAAATTAATTTTATCAGTACATGATTAGGTAGTTGTTTCAAGGATTTCGCATTTTCCTTTAGTTTTGGGTCTTGCCATCATTATTACTTCTAAATTCATCTTCTATACACATTAGTATAAAAATACCTACTTACATATTGATGTATTTTATAACTATGCCAAGATAACCTATAGTGCGCTGTAGTTGAGTTACTAAAGTCTTTATTATCCGACCAAATGATCAAATGTTCGATATATTATGTAATAGGTTCTCGTGAGTTTTGGGCTAATAAGAAACTCACAAAATGTTGTACTCGATAGTTGTAATACTTTCTTAGATTTACGTGAATATTTGACATTTTAAATAAAACTATCTTTTCGGGTTTATTCGCGGATTTATTTTGATTTTGGGTTGCCGAAAAGTCTCCCACGTGACCTTAATTGCTGTAAAGCATTCGAAACGTCGGGAACAAAAATCAAAAGAAATTTGCGAAAAAATCCGAAAAGATAGTTTTATTTAAAAAAATCGATCGTTGTACTTAGTCAAACTATTAATACATTTTTATACGTAAACCTTTATGCGAAACTTCGCCTAAAATTTTGAAATCCGTATAACTTTTGAATCAAGCACTTCACCGCCACCAAATTACATTGGGATGGTTTAATTTTTATGTATGGTCACCCTGCACTGACAAACGAAATGTCAACTGCCGCCATTTTGACTCAGTTGTCAAAAGTGCTTAGTTTATTTGTCATCCATGGTGCTTAGGGTGTCCCTGGAAACTTGAAGCTGAACAAGTACCTACCTAATAGATAATTATTAAGACCGCACTCTTATTATTGAAAGTCTGACTTATGTCAATTTAATTGATCTCCAAAATGAGTACATAACGTCAATAAAGTAAATACCAAGACCTGTCTTATTTGAGCAAAATATAGAAGATTTTAAGAAAAAAATAATAATAAATCATTTTATTATTACATTTGTTTTATTATTTCATTCGTCTTTCAATCTATGATAAAAAAGTAATCTATGATAAATAAATAAAAAAATATAAATCTATGATAAATAAATAAAATAATTTGTTCATAACTATTTGGCTGTGACTGCCCTGATTATTTGCACATTATAGCTCAAATCAGCTCATAACTTCGCCTACCCCTCATAAAAATAAAACTATATATCCTATGGGTTTATACTTTTTTGATTTTAAATATGATTTCTTTATTATTTTTAATTGCATGGGATGACAAAAATCGCATACTTTTGGTGAAAAAGCGACCAGGTGAAGTTTTGAACAACACTATAACTTCGCCCATATTTTTATGACTCTCGTATTAGTCTATGGTTAACGAATTTGAAATTTAAGTACTTGTTTATGCTCATAAAGGCGAAATTCTATTGGATCTTTTGCCGTATTAAAAAATGCGCGAATATAATCACCCTAGGCGCTAAATTAAAAAAAAAACTCAAAAATCAGACGAAGTTAGGGTGGTTTCCTTGTCCGCAAAATGCACGACAGTATCTGTCAGACTGCTAGTGGGACTAATATTAAAAATTCGTAAGTTTGTATATGTGTGCATGTTTGTTAGTACTTCACACCGCACGGCCGAACTGATTTGGATGAAATATAGTAGGTAGCCGTAGGTACACAGATAGACTATGACCTAGAGTGATACAAAAGATACTACACTCTCTACACACCTAGGGACTCACCCGACTAGTTTTAGTGGAATATAAAATTCGTACTGGTTCCACATTAAATATTATAGGTAATTCTAGAATATCTACCTAATTTCTATTTTTTATTTTTCTAATTTGGCAATGTTTTATAGTAGATACAAGTATTAAGGGAAAAGTCCAAACACCGTAGGGGGTACTTTGTTCACAAAAAAATGTGTTTTTAAACTTATTTTAATGTTTTATGCTAAGGAACCCTCAGTTTGCGAGTCAGATTTTTTAAAGAAATAGTCTTCTTGGGATGAAATGTAAGCAACTACGAGTATGTTTATAGATTAGGTATTTATGTAAATTTCTTTATATTTATAGTTTATTCAACGATTATTATCGTTATATTATTTTGATGGGTGACGAAAAAACAATACTAACTAAAAATATACAATTAATTGTGGATCTATTAGCAATAATTTGTATCTATCATTTTTCAGTCAGTTGAAATCTGTTTGTCTCAAACTATCTTAGCAAATTTCATCTAAATCGGTTCTGTAGATCTAGAGTTTATCCCCTACAACATCGCAAACTCACAACTCACAAACTCAAACTTTACCTCTTTATGATATTAGTACAGAAAAGTAACTAATTTCTTAAGCGCCTAGGTACTAAGATTCTTTTGTTAAGCAGCTTGTTATTGCATTAAATTAAAATAATTTATAAGTATAGGTACGTCAATAAAATATGATACTATAATTACAACAGTAGTAAAATATGATACTGAAAGTACCTACTAGGCATAATTTTTTCGTTTCCTTTGGAAGACTTACAGAAGCCTTTTTATACTTTACATAAAAATTAAATAGTTTAATAAGTAAATAGACATAAAATTCGGTTATACATTTTAAGATGCCTACTGATGCTGTTTTTCAAAGATAGCTACTAGCTACGCACCTATACGTAGGTATTAAAAATAAAACACGTAGGTAAACAAATAATTAACTATAACTTGTTAGGTAGGAACTTGAAGAGAACTTTCAATGGTTCACTTTATCTTTATGTTCGATTTCATGGATAATTTATATTTTTTAATAGAATGAGAAACAAGTTCGCACCTCTTGATCACTTCATAGTTAACTACTATCATGTTTCAGGTTTAAGAAAATGAAAAATTAATATTGTGTCTCAAGTATTGACATTACCTATCATGGGGAATTATATGTAATTTAATTTAATATGCAATTCTTTAATAAAAGTTTTATGTCACTTAAGTACTTATTAAAATATATATAAATATAAAACTTTAGGCCGTTGTCCTACCATAGGAACCTTCAAACATTTATCTACCTTCAAATAAAATACAAAAAATATATTATATACGCGCTACTACTAATCTAACTAATCGTTAAATTCGTATTGTTATTTGCACAATATCAAAAATCAAATAACACGTCTGTTCGTCTGTTCGCATGTACCTACCTATTCACAATTTCCAACAGTTAAATGGATTTTAATGAAGCTTTCATAGGTTGTTCAAAAACTTATGTGAGTGGCTTCATTATTTCGAAATATCCAAGCAGAGTTGCGGTCAAAAATAAATCCAGAAATATTTTTGGATTTAGTAGTAGTACCTATATGAAAATTATAAAACTTTTTTAATGACAAATCATTAGGTACAATACTTCACCTACTCCCATACCTACAAACTTTTTTAATATTTAGATTCTATCTTAGGGTAATGAGTGTCAAAATACCAACAACAACAATAAACACGACATATCTACCTATCAAATGTGAAAATAGCAGCTACTTTGCCTTTATAATATATTTTTACTAGCGACTCACCTTCACTGCGCTCGGGTTCGTCCCTAGGTAGGTACGTTTTAACGGTTGGTTTGGAATAAATAGACAGCATGATGATATATAGCTCATAGATTTTCTCAATAAACGGGCTAATTATCTAATACAAAAAAGAATTTTTCAAATCGGATTAGTAGTTCCTGAGATTAGCGCGTTTAAACAAACAAACTCTGCCTCTTTATAATATTAGTATATGTATGTAAGTTATATCTTTAAGTCCAACAACAGCTCGATATCTGAATAAGAATAACAATAATAGTATAGTATAGTAGTTTCAGCTGCGTTCACGTGCCTGAAAAGTTCCGAAATATATTTTATCAGTTGTGAAAATAGCTTTATGATGTCTAAAAGTTAATTTTATTCCAGCTTTTTGAATTTACGTGTGATTTTATTTTTTAATTTAATTATGAATTTCAGTAGTTTATGATTAATGAGGGTGTAATTGATTATAAGTTCTTGAATAATTTTCTATTGGCTTATTTCACGCTGGTAATGCACTTGGCTCTTTTAAGTATTTTATTTAGATATTATAATGTACCTACCTATTAATATAGCTTTCGATTGGAGCTCGAATAAAAATTTAATGCAACAGTAATATTTTTCATTAACAAAAGTGTTTCTCACAGAAGATGTAGAGCGAATATTTTATTTAGTTGTAATAAACTTCCTTTTGATATAAATAATTTATTATTTATCATTTTTAAAGTGAAAGAAGCAAAAAATCGCGTGTATCCTAAGAATCAACTGTAAAACGTAAGCTGATACCGTAACCGGCATAATTATGAAATTTCAGCGGCGGCGCGAAAGTGCCACAATTACGTGTCACTGTCACGTAATTGCTCCGGCCAGCACTTGCGATTTGTAAATATTCTTATTTCGCTACTTATAGCGCCCGTTCAATAAAATAATAATAGTAAACATCCGTGCAAATGGCCGGCGGGCGGCGGGGCTCGGGCGCGGGCCCGGCGGCCGGGGGGCCCGCGGGGGCGCGCGGGGCGAGAGGAAGCTTATCGATTCGCGCCCGCGCGACACTGTATCTATCCTCTCATCGAAGCCCGTTCGCTGGCCCCACAAAGAAAGAGATAGGTTTCGCCGACTTTGATCCTTTTGTTTTTGGGCAGCGTCCGGCGATGCGGGCGGGGGCTGAAAAATGTGAAGGGGCGCTGATTGGCCGGGCCGGCCCCGCCCCCCGCACGCAGCCTCCGTCGAGCCTCGGAGAGCAATCTCGCGCTCAGTTCAAGGGCGGTTGTGGCGTCGCACGCCGACCTGTTTGGTCTTCGGTTATTTATAACCTGATAATTTTACCGCAAGCCGATTACGGCATGGATGCTTATGTATTTGCCAATCACAGTGGCAAATTCTTTCACGATCAACGAGCTGACACAACTGTTTACAAATCATGACAAGGCTGACGCTAACAAGGTGTCCATGATAGAATGAAATGAGTATGTAACACAATGAATGATGGACAGCCTAGGACGATTACATGCAGATAAAACACTATTTTTAATTGAACACACAACTATAATTTGATATTTATAACGTTACTAACAAATTGCCGAATTAAATAAGTCAAATCATGATCAATTAATTATTATTTTATTTCACCATTACCACTTTGTTTTGAGGTAGAGTTATGTTATATAAAAGAGAAAAAATTGTTACAAATCCAAAGTTTATTACTTATTCTTAAAGCTTTTATTGTTGCAATTATAACACAGAAAATGATTCTTCTTCTATAACGAAATATGCTTATATGATATATATATATGCTTATATGATATATATATATATATATACATATATATATATATATATATATATATATATATATATATATATATAAAAGAATAATTAATATGCCAAATTTTATTTTAATCCCTCCACGACCGCGGACACACCGGCGTTACAGTTAACAATAGATTTCTTAGAAATTTAATTAATTTCTTAAAAATTTACCTGGAGGTCTTAAGGTCACTAGGTAAAATTTTAATATATTTTATTTATACTGTGACATGTTATTATAATTGACCCCTTAATTATTATAGATTGAGACATGGAATAGATGATTAGATTTTTCTTTACCATTGCTATTGAATTTACACCAAAAATAAAATTATTAAACATACCATACAGCATATTTATATTATACAAATATAGATTTTCTGAGCAAGTATTGACGATTTTTTTAAATCTTTAACAAAACACTATTAATTTCATTGATTTTCGTTGCCTTTTCATACTATATTAATAAAAATATTAAGTAATAAAGCTTTTCAAAGAAGCTTTTATAATTAGCGTAGAGCTTAATGAAATGGTTAAACAGTAGGTACGTACATCTTGTATTTATTGTTTGGAAGCCTTTAATAAAAATAAAAACCCAAGAATTCTATCTATCTCAATTACGAACCTATTATTAGATATTTATTTATTTTAAATATTTTCTCTCCAGTCAAATCCATTATATAGGAAATAGATTTTTTTTTGATTGACTTCAAAAAGAAGGGGGTACTCAATTCGTCGTCTCAGTGCTTTTTTTCCAAACGAACGACTTAAAGTTTTATTGACATTTAAACGCCAATTCATTTGGTATTAAGTATATATTTTACTTTTAAAAAGCCGAAAAGATGTACTTTATCTATATATGTAGAAATCGAGCTTTGCTTTTAAAATAGAGGAAAAAACTCTCTACTAAAAGTACAATAATATTGGTGGGTACTGTAAGCACTAAAGCGATAGATTGAGTTGAACATGCAATTGGATACGGTTGCTTGTTTTTAATGTACGCGTATGGTATACGTTATCTTAAACAATTTTAAATCGGTTTTAATAGTTATTTTTTAAATAATAGGTAATACCTTAATCTTGTAAATTCATTCCTAAAGGTAATTTCTTTAAAACTTATTTTGAAGTCGGTAAAAATTCTAAGTATGGGCTAGAAGTGCTGGGTAGTGGCCCTCAAAGTTATATGTACTACTATATACATAAACATATAATATACTAGCAGAACCCGCGGCTTCGCTCGCGCTAGAACTACAAAAATTCTAAAAAGGTAGGTAGGTACCTAGGTTTTATACAAACTTTCATCCCCTATCTTACCCCCTAACCTAGGATGAATTTCGAAAAATTGCTAAAACACGTATTTATTTGTATTGAAGAGCATCAATACCAAATTTCAAATAATTCTGATCAGAAATAAATTTTTGGATTGTATTGTAACATGGTTTTCCGTGGGAATGAAATGATCTCCCGCGGTAAAAAGTACCCTATGTCACTATCCAGCTCTCCAACTATCTTAACACCAAAAATCAAGCCAATGCGTCATTCCGTTTTGACGCGAAAGAAAGACAAACAAACACACAAACAAACAAACACAATTTCACATTTATAATATTAAAAGTATGGATAAGTATGGATATATTTAACTTTATATGAAAAGTAGCGTATTTGTTTGTGACATTTTCCATATACCATTCAGTCGATTACTAGAGCGTGTTGCTGTACGTCCGCTCGCAAATGTTTCTGATCGAATCGTAAACGTACGATAGGTGGCGCGAGTCGTATTTGATAATTTGAGATTTATTAATCTTAATAATATGTAGTATTTTATATTATATAGTATTTGTGTACATATATTTTTTGGTTACATTTCCTTACCGATATTTTCGATGTGATTACTTTTTTGCAGAACCCATATTTCTAAGCGAACATATCTATATTATATAAATTATAATTTTTCATTCTGAGTTTTATTTAGGCAATTTATATCTTATGTAGTAGGTAATAAGCTGAGCTAACAATGGTAAATATCAATTTATATAATTAAACCAAAGTAGTGGGTGATTGAATTATTTAAAACTATTCAATATCTATTCAATCTATAATAAGCCAACTACTAAAACTAAAAAAACTTTTTAACAAAAAAATAAGAACCGACTTCAAACAAAAGCACTAAAAAGTAAAAAATAACTGATTGATAGTTCTCATTTACTATACATACCTAATCAAATATTTTCGAAGTCGGTGTGCTTTGCTTTGTATGGGCTGGCACCGATTTCGAAAATATTTGATTAGGTATGTATTTAATAGGTAGGCTTTAATTACTTAGCCAAAGCACACCGACTTCGAAAATATTTGATTAGGTATGTATAGTAAATGAAAACTACCAATCAGTTATTTTTTACTTTTTAGTGCTTTTGTTTGAAGTCGGTTTTTATTTTTTTGTTAAAAAGTTTTTATTTTTCCCTTTTTAGTGTAGACAGTAGTAGAAAAGTAAGGATTCTAACGTGTTAGGCTTGTCAAATCAAACAAAATAAGCCCAAACTCAAAGTATCTACTATTAGCCGTTGAAGAGTTCCACCTATCCACCTTCTGGCCTTGCCATCAGATCAGGTTAACAACACTGAACCACTGTACTATCAACGGAAATAGAAATACTTGCAAAGTTTCAAGTCAATATGACAATTAGAAGTAGGTTAAATTCATCATTAGTAGTTTTTCCACCCTTAGGGGTGGTATTTTTTTTTGAAATTTCAATGGGACCAATCTGGAAGTATACCCTTTCAAACAAAACAAAAATTGTCCAAATCGGTTAATAAATGACGGAGTTCTGAGGTAACAAACATAAAAAAAAAAAAAAAAACATACAGTCGAATTGAGAACCTCCTCCTTTTTGAAGTCGGTTGAAAACAATTTTATTATAAAAAAACTGAAAGATTTCACTGTATAACAAACCAACACACAACGCCTCATACGTTGAAATGCATCGGACCGTTCAGTCAACAATATACTACAAAGAAAATTCTAACTGAAATGTATAAAATCTGGCTAGCATATATATTACAACTTTACCTGTTTTACATCTCAGGACTTATTTGTGTAAGTTTTATGTTAATTGACATAGACTATTCATTTGGATATTATTTTCTTATATAACATGTAGAGATACCATGATAACCACACGGAGTACCTACTTAAGAGAAAAAATGCATCTTATAGGCTTGTATACTGCTCCAATATATTTTCCATTTAATATAAATTTTTTAGTAAATATTTAATTAGTATGTGTATTTTTAGTAATGTTTCTGCATGATGAGAAAATATTGCCTATGTACAAACAAAGTTTTCCGTGATTTGTTATATCTCATGTCTCTGCCAACCTTATAAATGAAAGTGCACTGTGTACAAATATGTGAAAGTAAAACGCCAATAGGATCTTTAGTCTCATAAAATCTCATAAGACTCCGTCGTTAAATCCGATGCGCACGATTCTCTAGCTGATTGTCGTTTTGCATTCATACGTCTGTTACCTTATACATACATACATATATCGCCTTCCCTTTCATTATAGAACCAGTTCAAATAATGAATTTTTCATTATAGATCACTTTTTATTTGCTAATATTCTTGATTGCTTATTTTTAAACAATTGACATAGTACGACTATTTAGTGCCGTGGTTATAAATACGTATATAATGTATCTATGTACATTGTATATATGTACATAGGTATATAACAGAAAGAGAAGTTTCTAAAATTTAAGTATTTAAATATTTAATTTTATTACTTTTTAAAAAAAGAAATGATTCTAAGAAGTTTTAAAGGATATTTAAAAATGCAAAACGAAATAAAGACAGAGACGTGAAAAAATTATGTAGAACAATGTCTACGAAGTAATTGTAGGGCCCGAGGATCTTGATGATTTTTTAATTTAAAGTATAATCAAGCCAAACCAGCTTTTGAATTTTTGACTGTAGCTGAAAAATTGCTACTGCAGTAAAATTGATCTCAGTCAAGAGAGTTCATATCAAGCACAAAACAAGTATTGTGTTTTTTTTATTTTTGTAAAATTTATGCGCAATTAAAAATTCTCGTTATATTTACCTTACAAAAAAATGATATAATTTGAAATAAAATAAGTTATATGTAAATATGTAACATGCCAATCAATCATTCAATCATTTCTAACATAATTACCACTTGCCTTACGGTGAACGAAAACATCGCGAGGAAACCTGCATGTCTGAGAGAACCTAGTAAGTTTTGGAAAGACATATGGACTATGGCCTGATCTCCCTCGTATTTAAGTGAGGCCCGTGCCTAGCAGTTGGACGTTAGAAAGGGCTAGATACAATTATACATATAACATGTAATGCTGCTAGTAAAAGTAAGTAAATACCTCGTTGGTATTATTTTTTACTTTAATAAAACCCAATAATTTAGAATGCACGTTACATGTGACAAGTATCGACTGTCGCGTCGATCACTTCATAGCTGGTGTAATAGCGTCTTCTTATACTCAATATACCTACATATGGAACGTAACTTCGTTCGGTTTAAAGAACTTTATTTCTTACTAGTTGATTTTTTAAATTGACAACTTTTTTATTTATGAAGCAA